TTCTGAGGAAGTTCTCAACAGATTTATAATTCTCAGGCTCAATAATGCATCTCTAGATATGGAATGAAAAATTTTGAAATTATACAGCATTCAACTGCGTAAATACATTTTAGTGATTCTTACAAGCTCGCAAGATCCATCGAATGAGTCCGTCCTAATTACTTGATCAATAAGTTCCAAAATTGAGTCCCGGACCTCGTTAAAATAGTCCTTATCTATTGTCAAGACGATTTCGAGTAATGCTGGTGCAATTTTGAAGCCAGCATTTGCTCTCAATTCTTTAATTACTTCGAGACCCTTATTTGTGAGCTAATGTATAGAATACCTGTTGCTTGGCACTCTTGTTCGACTTAAGGTTTATGTGGCAATCTTTCATCATTTTTTCTATCATTGTAACTGGATAGCCACGTCCAGTTTCCGTATTAAGGCACCGTTCAGAGACAAACTTTGCAACATCACGAAAAAGATTTTGATTTTCAACAGATCGCTCCTTTTCTGTAACTTGCAGGTCACCATTTTCGAGAATCTTAAGTAAGAGAAAATAAACATACATACACAGCGATCTTAGACTCGTCTTCTGTTCCAAACGCTTCATACATTTCCTTTTTATTGGCTAATTTCCCTTTAGAAACGTTAGCAAATATTGCTTGCGATTGAAGGACCTCATCAAGTTTATTTTCACTGATTTCTTAGACAGCAATGCGAATTTACATTCGGTCACGCCAAGATCTGACCTTGTTGGGATAACAAGCAATTTCATAGCGCTCCCCTCCTTTTTTTAGCCGAACTATTGTAATATTTGTCAAACGCTTTTGGTTAGTCGGTGTGAATAGAGCCATAGATGCGGAAATGCGAGACGATGAAAAAAACCCGCAAATATAACAAACTAATTAAAACAAATACATTGTATAATTTATTAATAGTTTATGTTATTAATATATTATAATATAAACAGTACTATCTTATTTATTAGAGATAGCATTCATTAAACAAAACTTTTTTGTCATTTAAAAGTGAGTACTATTTAACAAACACCTTACTTCCTGCCTCAAAAGTCAAAACTTAGATCATTATCACGTATTTACGCGATTTTTCTCTTCATTTTTCTCTCTTTATTGATTTACACTGCCTTAATAAAGTTACTTATGGAATAGCTATGAACAGTGAAATTAATTTTAAATATGTTATCGTCTTAAGTGTTTACTGTGTTTCAAAGTATCATTTAAATCCGTTTTAATATAATTTGGTAGGTGGGAATTTCAGCATGCTAAGCCGAATACAAATCCCCATCATAGACTTTAAGAAATCCTATTTGTGAGTGACTACCATTCAATTTATCTTTACTTTTCGAGATGCCCTATAAGTTATGAAAGAGTATTTTCTTTTGCCTTCGGCAAAACTCTTTCCATATATATTAATGGCATAAATAACTGTGCATTGAATTGAATAATATAGTTATCATGCAATTAGCCTATTTAACTATATAACCATCCCACCAATCTTTTATTACCGGAATTCTCCTTTATAAAAGTAAATTGAAAAGAAAATAGATAATTAATCATAAGTGCGATTGTAGAGTAGGAGCTTTTATAGATATTGCTGGTAATTAGTGGTAAATTATCATTGGAGAATCAAGATATAGGATTGGAAAATCTTTTTCAAGCAGATATTGTTCTCGGACTTTAAA